AGTGACGCTGCGTGCATACTTTGCGTCAACTTTTTGAGCGTACGGCAGCAGCGATCTGAGTGTTTCGAGCGTACGTCAGCGTTTTAAGCGTCTCGAGCGACCAAAAGTAGGGATACCGATCTAGCGTTTCAAGCGTTCACCGCCGTTTTCAGCGGCTGCCCACCGGTAGCACGAAATTGCCCTGTGAGAACGCTCAAAACGCTGGCGTACGCTGAAAACGCTAAAGCTATAATCCATTCTTTGCTAGTTGCTCGAAAGGCTCGAGACGCTGCCTTGCGCTCAGAATGCTTACGCAAAGTATGAACGCGGCCTAATCTTCTCCTGTTTTTGCCTGTGCAGCTTTTCCAATGTTCGTTTTGTTTTTAGGAAACGCTGGTAATTGCACTGGAACAACTGTACGCACTTGGAGCTCTCAATCACCGAGGAGAATTAACGAAACTAGGACGGCGTATGGCTGAGTTCCCGTGTGATCCATGCATGAGTAAAATGATAATCGCCAGTGAAAAGTAAGATCTTTATCACTGCATAGAGCTAAAACCTGAAATGAATCTCATTCAGGTATGGATGTTCTGAAGAAATCCTCACTATCTGTGCAATGTTGTCTTGCAATGCCGCTGTGTTCTATAGGTAATTTTTTGATTTACTTTTTTCAGTTTCTGCTCGGAATGGTATGGAACTGAGATCGAAAGTAGTACATATAAACAAAAGCTGTGCCCTTAGCCGTCTGGTTATGCGTTCTTCTGTTATTTCGAAATTAAAATTAATACAATTTCAGACCGAAGGCGATGATTATTCATGCCGATTCGGCGAGGAAAGCGTTCTGGAGTCCAGCTGGAGATCACATTACTCTTATGAATGTGTATAACAAGTGGAAAGAGACAAACTATTCACAACAGTGGTGAGTGATTGCCAGGTCTTGCCTTTTGCTTGACTTATCTAATTCCCTATCTATCTTCTTGTCGATTACCGTTTGTAAAGGCACGAGCCCATTACTTTACTGCTTTTCGTTTTTAAAGAATTTAATGTTATGAATAATGTAATCTGTTCAACCGAAATGATGTTGTCTGTTCACAAGCAGCAAATGTAGTGGCTCCTATATATTTTGCTGATCTAGCCCGTACCCAGGTTTTATTTCATACATAGTTTTCCCATTTTGTGTTCACACTAAGTCATATAGGAGCGGTAAAGTAATCAAAGACCAGTCAATACTATTTAACTACTGAATAAATACTGAAAAAGAACCGAAAAACACGGTGTAAAAATTAAAGTCGTGTCAGAAAATGGTCTTTGAATTTGGTGGTCGGGACAACTACGGAGCTGTTAAAGCTGCCACTTATGAAGCCACAGCGCCTTCGTAACTTACTGTGAAGCCGGGAAAGTGGGACGGTTCTAGTGACTGCGGATCAGACTACTAGAACAAGGAAGGTCGCATACGAACCGATTGACCACGGGGACTGTTTTCAAGCCTGAGGGTCTGAACTGATCGAGTAGCAACCCATCCTTGTGCTGACGGTAGATTACAGCTCATTTATAAGAAATGATTCTGTTTCTTCTGCATTCATCCTTTTTTTGTCACCAAAGGCAAGATGGCATTCAAAACATCCAGTCAGTGCATCACATTATTGTTCAGTAATTTTGTGATACTTCGTTTGTTCTTCGTTCAGGTGCATGGAGAACTTTGTGCAACATCGAACAATGAAGAAAGCAAGGGATATTCGAGATCAGCTTGAAGGGCTGCTTGAGCGAGTTGAGATTGAGCCTGTAAGTATAGGAGTCCTTTGAAAGCTTTCAGGTTGATTCTTCTGAGCATTCTTATATAGCGTGACTCCGAAGGCCTCACTATATAGGAATGCTTAGAGTTGACTTCAGAGTTCCATGTAATGTGACAGTATTTTCAATTTGACGGTATTCAGAAATCCAGTTCCTGCACCATTGCCATTCGAAAAGCAATCACCGCCGGATATTTCTACAACTGTTCGAAACTTGACAATTCTGGTTAGTTTCTTTACAATTACAATTTGTTTTCTATTGCTTTGACTTTTTCTTCCTGCTTCCATTTCAGTTTTTTGTCCATGTTTCATCCTGCAATTCCTGTGAATTCCTGTCAAGTACCATGCAAACTCCTGCTAGGCTCCGCGAAATTGTACTAGCTAGTACCATCGTTATTCGAAAGTCATTTCTCCATTTTTCCAAATCTCGACCAGTGATTTTAACAAGCTTGACAGGGGGGGGTTTACAGGACGCTTGACAGGTGCTTGTAAGGCTTACAGGGGGGGCGTGGTCGTTGAAACGAAGGCTGTCCTATTTACATGGACAGATTGCAGGATTTCGTATTGCTGAAGGCGCTTGCAAACTTCCCCCCCCCCCCCCCCCGCCCCTCCCCTTCCCAAAATTGATGACCCGCTGTCTCTACAGAGAAGAGTGAAATTGCTAAGGAAATTCGAAGTCGCCGACATGTGCGCCCTACCCTATCTCAGTTTTCACTGCCGCACCTCTTCTCTTCCAGTCATAGAAGATTTTTTTATTTAAATTATTACTGATTGTTGCCTTGAATAACTAGTTGCCGTCCATAACAATTTGACTGCAATGTCAGCAGCATTACAAGACGCCGGCAAGCACAAGCACACCGTACACGTCCATCCGAATTCTTGCTTTTCAAAACGCTGCAAGTGGGATGTTTATTATGAGCTGTGTTCACGAGCAAAGAGTTCATGAGAAAGGGCCGGTTCTCTATTTTTGGCCTGTGCCCACAACAGCTTGTTTGCTTCAACCGCTTAGATCTTTTCCTAAATTTGAATGCAGATTGCAAAAGAGAAAGTTCTTGGCTGCTAGAAGTTGCTCCTCACTACTACAAAGGCCGTGAACTTGAAGACGCGACGAACAAAAAGATGCCCAAGCAAAGAGGAAAATCGGCACAAGAATTGCATGGTTAACTCCTGAAGACTGCAAAGGGTCTCATTTATAGAAAACGGGTATTTCTCCCTTCATCCTCGTTCTGTATTACACTGCCATTTATTAATTTTGCCACGTGACGACTTGTCTCGTTTATGTTGTTTTCACGAAGCACAGGGATTCCGTAATATCTGTGCTTCATCATTGTTATACAAATTCCACTTCAAATTCTATAAAGTGTATGTTTGTCCAGTTCAAATTAAGCCGTTCTTCTTTCTTTGTTGCAGAAATTCCAGAAAAAAAGATACATGGTTGATATCGTCGCAATTCAGCGGCGGCACGGGTCAGGAAGGGACGGTTAGCCTACTCTCCTCTTTTTACAGCAGTGAAAGCATTGTCGTGATCGATTTCCCGGAAGAAAAAGAACAGTTGTAGGCGAAAGCCGAGGAGACTCTGTTCCGTCCTACTGGCACCGCCCGACTGAATGTCGCGAAAGTCAATGTACATGAAGCATGAATTTGAGTACAGGGAAACTTCCGCCAACCTGTACTTCTTCGACTGGGAGAGTCTGTACCTACTCTCACTTCTTTTTCTTTTTCACACACTGCTATCTGTATCACCTGTGTGTTCTTCAATGGTCGCGTTGCCGATGTTGACGCCGGTATCTTCCCGAACCGTCCCTATAACGTGGTAGAGTTACCCAGCGGGTTCGGCAGCGTGCAGACATCGCCATGGCGCCGTTGCCATTGCAATATTGCAATAGAAGGGAAACGCCCATAAGTTTTCGGAAATAGAAGAAGAACAGGTGGGTATTAGACTAAGTAACTCGACAGCACGTACCCTCCCGTTCCCCTACACTCTCGCAATGCTGTTGCGGCCCGCGCCGATCGCTACCCGCCTATGGCTACTTTTCTGTCTGTAACATTGCAGTTGTAGCAGTATTCCACGACGCGCTTTCATGGAAAAAGTCTGTGAAGCTGCGTTCATACTTTTCGTCAGCGTACGCCATCGTAGGCAGTGCCAGCGTTTTATCTACCCGTTCTGGGTTCACCATTCTCGCAGAATCTCGTCTAGGATCTATTATTCTTTTTCTCTTGCTGTTTAGCTCGTGGTTTCTTGCTGATATAGCTCTGGATGATTTCAAATTCTGGGGATTCAATTCTTTTGTTTCACCCTTTAAAAGAACGTGTGCGAACCAGATGATGAGCCTTTTCAATTAGGGGTAGGGGCCCTGGAGTAGGTAAACCACTTACCACAGCTGAAAAGTTGCGACTTTGTGAGTCATTGTGCGTCATAAAAGGCCTAATGCGGACGACGGAACAGGATTATGCAGATTGGCACGATGAAAGGGATAAGTCTTAGAATATCCGTCAACCATTTCATAACACTTCATGTCCTAGGAGCTCCGGGAGGAGCTGCATCGTTAGTAAGTACCGATGGGCCAACGCTCTTCTGTGCTTGTCTCGGCAAATCTTCTGAGGTCTTGAGGTTTTTCCTCACGTCTTCCTTTTCCAGTAGCTCTCTTCTCTTTATTCTTCTTCTGCCTCAGACCATATCATATTCTTCACATTTATTACATAATATCACAAGGGGTAAACATAAAACTTGAGCGAAGTAAGTGAACTCAGGTAATCTATTATGTACAACGAAAACATTGTGTACCCGAGCGTATGGATAATGGGTATCGAAGATGACTAGATCAAATATAAAGCGAATCAAGGGGGTACCATCCGACTTGACCCTCATTTTAGAGTGGTCAACTGGCGTACGTCCTCCAGTGGGCAGAGTTTCTATAGAGTGTAACGCCCACTTGTTTAACTAGGTTTTACCATTCAGTTTGGAAATTGTTGAAAGGCTCGACTCAGCAACCACTCTCATTTTCCTACCTTCTTTACTGTGACGTATACCATATAGGAAGTAAATCGCGAGTCCTGAAAAATTTCTTCAGTTACTTAAATAATTCGACCAATTTCAATTTGAAGGCTGATTCAGGACAAGCCATCCTTACCAACGGCTTTAAATGCAGTTAGAGCGTTGGGTAACGAGACGCTGTGCTATGAAGCATACAGTAGAAAGGGGTTCGGCTGCGCTCCTGGTGAGCAAGTGAGCACAGACCAACATCTTTTCACCAATGTCGCTGGAACTCCGGCTCCGCCTTCTATCCATCATGCGCACTGCTTCGCGATTTCAAGTGGTGAGTAGAGAGGGTCTACTACGAAAAATAAGGTGGTGGGTGACACAGTTCAAAAAACCAGAAAAACTGCCCGAAATGTTCAAGACTACTGCCAGCCAGGGCACGCCATCGTTGTGATGATCACAACGGGGAGGGGGGGGGTCGTATTTGGTCTGAGAAAATTTTTTTGGTAGTTGATTTCTCTTGTTTCACGGACGGTATAAAGGGGGGGTCGTATTTGGCCGTTGTTGAGAGAGGGACTGTCATAGTTGATTTCTCTTGTTCCACGGACGATATAAAGGGGGCGTCGGGCGCTGTTTGTCGACGGGGGGGGGCATTTTGTACTACCATTGCTTCCCTAGTTCCGGTTTACAAATCTCACCCTGGTAAAACTTGTGAACTCTGTGAAGCTGGAGTAAGATCGTCTAGCCACCATCCTAAAACGTGTCAACTCGAGAAAAGGCTACCTAGATGGGTCGGCACATCTATGGAAAGCAGAATGCCCCCCCCGTCGACAAACTGCGCCGGGGCGTCGTATTTGGCGTTGTTGAGAGAGGGACTGTCCAAAGATCTATACAACTACTATTTCCGATAGTTGAAAATGATAGTTAAATCCTGACGACATTCCCCCCCCCCACCCCACCAGCCTCCGCTCAACAGTAGAATTTTGGGGAAAAACGAGAAGGAAATTTCCAGCAAAATTTTGGGGAAAAACCAGAAGGAAATTTCGGAAAAACTGGTAAAGTGGAAATTTTTCGGGAAAAATGGAAATGGAAAAAGTGATGGAAAGTTGAGGAAATCTAGGAAAGTTGTAGTTAGCATGGGAAGGGGGGGGGTCGTATTTGAGTATAGAATTAAGGGGTCGTGTTTTTCAGGAAATGATCACAACGCGATGGCGTGCCCTGCTGCCAGCCATCTTATAGGAGCCTATAGCGAAGAAAGGCGTGGCTGGACGAGTTCCCACTTATTGCCATCCGGACGATATTAGCTCTCTCCCCTTAACACTTCATTTTCACCGCACTCAATAAAAAGAACACGTAGCGGAACAATCGCACCATAACGACCTCAATAGAAATGAATGTTGGGCGTGGCATAGAACGGTGGGCGGTCCGACACCTATGTCACTGGCCTCTAGCGTCCTTACCGAGTATTTTTGAGCGGCAGAAATGGTACCACTTCTTTGCTTGGGTTGCACAGCCTTGCCTAAGGAAGGCGTCTGCTCACCAGATGAACGCGGGACATGCTTTCGAGCTCTTCAAGAGAAGGGGACCACGACGTGCTGTGGTTAACGACGTAACTTTCACAAGTGACGTAGCCTTCTCAACCATCGCTGTATGACCAGCCTAGCTCGCGCTCCCTGCACTTTCTGCGCGGCCTTCAGTTCAAAGTCTGTCCTTCACTACACTCTCATCAGCTGTATGGGATGAGTTGCTGCGGAACAGTAAAACCACCATGAAGTGATTGTGGCAGAGGGTGAAGGGCGGCGCAAAACGCCTTCGCATGATCGCTCGCCCTCTTTATCACATTTTCAGGCTTGCGAAAGTGGCATTCCTTTGTGCTTCCCCACAGGCCTACCTTGTCGAGGAGAGTGCCTGCACACTGGACGAGCAAGAGACGTCCCTTAGAGCTCTCCTAATGTGCATGAAAGTGATCGCTTCTTCCCATACAAGGTATGTTATGTCCAGGGCAGGTCGTACGACGCAAACCCAGCGGACAGGGTCGTATTTGGTCGCTGGAAGGAGGGGGATCATACTTGGGTCGAAACCGTTGGGAGAATTCCAATGTGGGGAGAGGGTCGTATTTTCCGTAAATTCTCCCCAGCTGTAGGAAGTTCTCCCCTGACCACGAAAGCGTGAAAAACTTCAAGGGTATTTGATGGGCTTTGTCCTACCTATAAGCATCCATACAAAGAAACGAATCCATGTGATGTAGTCCAAATACGCCATCATAAAGACGTTAATGAGCAGTCCTACACTTGGAATCACTGGAACGAAAGGCACCTAAAAGAGAGAATTTTGACTCCTGCCACGGTCCATTCGATGTTGTTCTTAGGACTCACCCGGAAGTACAAATCTAAAGAATTTTGCTCGTGTCCACAAATGAAGGAAAAGGCTAAAACGGCCAGAACTGAGCTCAGTCCAAGGGAAATGTAACCACCAGTTGAAAACAAGAAACCTGAAGTATACACATTATGGTTTTAATTGTGGCTGTCTATTGTTACTGTAAAAGTAGATGAAGTTGGAAAAGAAACAAAAATTGAGAGAGATAGCAAATGTTAAAATGGGTTTCTAAATAGAAGATGAAAAGGAGTTAGATTATCGAAGAATCGCACCTGTTCGAACAGTGAAGGCAAGCCAGAAAAAGCTAAAGATTAGGGTAAGAACAGCTATAACGATAGATCGGCCTTCAGGGAGACTTTCCCAGGAGTTTCGAAATGGCACCCATGCCTTGATCCTACCACCTAAAATACTCCACAGTTCTCTCTTGATTATCACTTTTCGGTGAACATTATTATATTTTTAGTCAAGCAAGATGGAAAAATGTATAGAGTTGAATAGAATAACTTTACTATAAAGTGAAAAACTAACCGGTGTCAAACCTGTCTGCCTCGCCATCAAGTGGCGCAGCCTGATAACGAAGGATCAACACGCAGGCTGAAACCATCGAATAGGCCGAAAGGGTTCCGATAGAAAGGAAATCCACAAGTGTCGCTAAATCGAACACCAACGCAATCACTGCATTCACGAGAGTGAAGACGAGGGTTGCATTCAGTGGAACCTGGAAATCTTGGGATTTCCGGAATTACCCGATTGAAACTATTTATCGTTCCCTACCTTTGTGATTCGATTGATGGTTGCAAGAAATGAGAATAGTAGGCCATCGTCAGCCATTGCGTACACACATCGTGGAAGTGCAAAGATACCACTAAGCTGAACATAAGCCCGTTCAAATTACCTGTACCTAACTGTCAGACATCGAGAACTGCTCCCTGAAATCTAGCGTACCTCTTGCTCTGTGTGCCAGTTCGGCTGCGCCTAGTGGAGAGACACTCTAACCTTGCACATTTACTGATGCCATTAGTATTCCAGGTTGGAGTAGGTGAAGGGGGAGTGGGGAGGGGAGAAGATGTCAGGACTTCTGCCAACTGTGGGCCCTCACTCTCACTCTCTTTTCATCCCTTTTCTGTTTTCCTTCTTCCTTATTTTCTCCACTGTACTCGAAAACAATAACAACGAATAACTGACCAGATTATTAAGCATTCCAGCAAGTGCCCCGGCGGTGATAATGTATTTGGCTATAGTGGCACCTTTGGCTTCAAAGGCATCGGCAAAAGCTGCATCAGGATTGATCTGAACATGCATTACTTTTCAGGTACGTCAGTAGAGAGCAGAAACGAATGCACAACA